TCGACCAGATTGTTAAGTACCGCAAGTGAGGAAATAATTTAATCAAGCTTTGAATCAGCTTAAAATAACACCCAGGTAGCGGGTGAAGTCGACAGCTGTCTGAAGGTCACCAAGGGAGGCAGAGTTGAAGCAGGTCTGAACTCTTCTGCTGATGGGGAGGAATGTGGCCATTCAACAACTCTCTGCTCCGACTTCTTTTTGAGCTAAAAAYGTATGACTTACAGTTTTAAAAAGTTTTAAAAAGTTTCTCTTCTTCAATCAGTTTTATCTTTTCTACTTGACTTTAACAAAAATTGTTTCTGAGAAAATCTGTTTTTTTTTTTTCTTCTCAGATATGGACGGATAAAGGCACAAGTGCAGCAAAAAGTGACAAAGTGCAGCTTTTTGTGTGACATCCACTTGAGAACATTTTCTCAAGTTATGACTACACCTGCTCTGACTGTCCAAACCTTTCCACACACAGGTGCCTCCTAATGAGAATAGTCTTGTCTAAATAACAAAACAGAGAATTGAGTGTATGCTTTGGGAAAAAAAAGCGTTTCAGAACAGCAATTTGAGTGTAAAGCAGAAATTGTGTTTAAATATTAGCAGAACAGATCATTCTGTCTCAAGTACTAGAAACTGTGTAAATAATCGGGAAAAAATGAAAATCCCTGAATCAATGCTGGATTGAAGACCCTAACACCACTTTGTTTTTTCTCTTCCTCACTTTTAGAACATTTGTTCCAAAGATGGAGAACTTTTATTTTTGAGTACTGTATTTGAGACAAAGACATYGTTTAATGAATTTTTAATATACATGAATTTAAGACTTATCCTGTTTTCCATTTACTGGRATTCTGAATGGCTAACAAAAATCATTACTGAGCAACTTGTTTCATGACAAAAACATTCAGATGACACATCAGGGTGAGGGGAAAACAAAACTGAACTTGTTTCACAAAAGTGTTGTTTTTGTAAACAGTATCAGCTCTCAATATTTTTTTTTATTCTACTGTTATTTATCCAAGCTAATCTCATTGCGACAAACACAAGGAGAACAWGCAAACTCCACACAGAAAGACCCAAGGTCCCAACTGGGGATAGAACACAGGACCTTCTTGTTGTGAGGCACTGAGATGTCGTGCTGGGTTAAACTCACATATTTTCCTGATCCAAAAACTCYTTCACACAAGTTTCTTTACAGAAGTTTTTAGATAAAACATAAGACTTGTATTCAAACATATTCAACACTTCAGTGATATTATAATAATGATGATAATACACTGCCCGGCCAAAAAACAAAGTGTCCACCTGGATTTAAGGTCTATGATGTAAGGTTGCTGCAGGTGGTCAGGTGGTTCAGCCCAAAGAATAAGGTCAGCTGACTACCTGAATATACTGAATGACCAGATTATTCCATCAATGGATTGTTTCTTCCCTGATGGCACGGCCATATTCCAAGATGACAATGCCAGGATGCATGGGGCTCTTATTGTGAAAGAGTGGTTCAGGGAGCATGAGACATCATTTTCACTCATGGATTGACTCCACAGAGTCCAGTGAGAATCTTTGGGATGTGCTGGAGAAGGCTTTGTGCAGCGGTCAGACTCTACCATCATC